GCGCCAAGTAGAAAGATCTAATGCTTAACCCCCAAACACAGTTATTAAGTGTACAGGGAAAGATAACACAAACTACGGTCAGTCACACTATTTGGAAACAGTGGGAGACTGTAGTGGTCTGGGTTTATCCGGGGGATTGTTACAGTCATAATGGGAAACAACAGAGTGTAATCACACACACCAAGATATTTGATGGTAGTGTTTCATCGGTTGCCATTTGATAGATGAACAGCGTTGAATACGTTTTAATCCAGTTTGCCTATGGCTTGATATGGTCTTTTTTGTCAGCTAAAAATTATTGGGGGGAAAAAAAAAACATGTCCAAAGTGTTTCATTTTGGGGAAAATTTTCAATCATGTTTCTCAGAGAAGCCTGTGTTTTCCTCACATGTAAACCGCATGTAATTTAAATAACGGGGAATTATATAATTGTCTTGTGTAATGCAACATTCTCAACAGAATTGCTGCCCCCAAAATGTACTCTGAATAATGAATGAGTCTAGAAAATTTGGTCAGTGTGCATGGCTGAATTTGGATAATTTAAGCACAAAAGGAATTCTACATATCAAGAAAATAAATATTGTTAGAAATGTTGTATGTGTATATTTGAGTCATCCTTTACTTTGCTCTTAAGGAGGAAAAAAAAACTTGAAAGTTATGGGATGACAAAATGAGGGATAGAGAAGTATAAGGTGATGTTACCTGAATTATGTACGGTGTTTATGTAATCTGAATAGTAGCTTACTTCCCAGCCTTTCTTTCATTTGTTGCTCACCCTCTGTGATTTCAGGTAGCTGGTGAAAAAACATTTTCTTCCCTCAAAGAACAGGTACAACTGAGAGATTATTGTTATCATGTCTGTGCTCTCTGGAGGCCAAAACATTTGACAACAAAGAGTCTGAACGAACCTAAGTTTACCTCAAAGTTACAAGAAAAGCAGTGTTGAGAATTGAGAGACCTTCACTCAGAATATCTACTGGCTTCAATGGCCATATTGCCAGAAATTAATTTTTTGGGTATGGCTGTTTTGGCTCTGTAAATTCTCCGGTTCAGTGTAATGGAGCAGACCAGTTGTCGGTAAAGTGTTTGCAGTATCTCCAATTAGCTTTTACCCCGAAAAGGGAAGAATCTGAAGAATGGGCTGCACAAAGACGTGCACTGGGTCCAGAGAGACGAGGTCCCAGAGGTTAAGTGTTGCCTCTGGACCCTTTGCTGAGAGGTAGCTTCAGGAAGCCTCTTGTGGTCACTGCTTAACCTTGCATACTGCCCCTCCTCTGCTGCCCTGCCCTCACCCGTTTATCCTGATCTCCTTTCTTTTGTAGCATTTATCACCTCGTAATAAATTATAAAATGTGCATATATATTATGTAAACATAATAATATATAAATATGATAATACATGAATATAATGATACATGCTTGTTGTTTGTTTCCATGTGCTCAAAAATGTAAAGCTCTTTGAAGGCAGGAATCTTCATCTGTTTCATTCATTCATATATTAAAAGTGCTCAGAAAGGGCTTGGAGCATAATAGGTGTTCAGTTATTTGTGGCAGGCTCATCCCCCACGGGGAGAAAGACCCAAAGGGCAACCCAGAGTTCCCAAAGATTTCTAAGACAAATGTAAATAAGGAGTTCTGATCATTTTGAATAATTTATTGGAATTCAGTGTGAGATTTTTGGGAAGACGATTATTTCCTTTCATGTACTGCTGTTTAATTTATATCTCAGCCTCCCTCCTGGGAGCATGCGGGGCTGATTATTCCAGGAAGTAAAGCCTAAAAGATACGGGCGCTTATTTTATTGAAGCAAGAGAAAGAAAAGAGGGAATTGCTTTGACTCATGGTTAGGGGATTTCTAGGGAAGTGGCCATTTCTCTATTTTGTGCAGAAGAACTTTGTATTTTGTTTAACGGTTATGAATCGGTGACTGTTTCTGAGAAACTGAGTTCATTACAAAAACTTATGCCATTTGATTTATCTCAGTTGGAAGAAAAAGAATAGGGCATAATGAGAGCATGAGTTAATTTGTCCTTTATTATATATTTAATTGAAATTTATTTATATTTTATTAGAATGCCCTAAAATCAGAGGCTTCAAAATTCCAATCTGTAGACCAATCCTGTTTCATAATAAAATGTTGGTGACAAAATGAGAAAAATTAGACTCTCCATATCCTGCAAATCAGTAATTTCTAGGAATTTATTCTAGAATAAATTAGAATTTAATTTAATTCTAAATCTAGAATTTTTACATAGAAGTATAAATAATGCTACAAAGATATTCATCACAACATTTTGTTTGGACTTGTGAAAAAATAAAAGGAATTTAATATCTACTAAAACTTCAGTGTGCCTAACCAATGCAGTTTTGTGTAGTCAAGGTATAGAAAGGTATATTTATTGACATGAAAAGATGTCCATCAAACAGTTAAGTCACTAAAGGAGGTTTTAAAGCATTATGATCTGGTGCGTGTTATATACGCAATTACTTTCAAGCATGAGGAGCCTGAATATAATACCAGCGGTGGTTGTCTCAGGATAGTGGAGGATTGTTTTAAGTTTTTCATTTCATATACTTTATATTTTTATACAGTTAGAAGTTAGAATGTGTAAGTTACACAATAACATTTATCAGGTAAGTGTTTTTACATTCTATTTTCATAATTTGGGGATATTTCACTGACCTTTGGTATTAAAAAGACTTGAAGTTTTGAAGATGTCTTCCTTTCATTTAACAGCAGTGTATGTTCAGCCAAAGGGAGAGTTTCACAGCTTGTATGTAGCTCTTTGATTTTTTGGAATATATAGACATGGCAAGCACTGCGGTCATCAGTTATATATATCAGTTATATACATAAAATGCTTCAGCAGCTTAGAGCACACTTTTGCACTCTTCATCTCACTACAGCTGTGGAAGGTGGGTTATATTATTGCTCCCATTTTAGAAGAGAGGGTTTTAGAAACAAGTTTTATTGAAGTATAGTTGATTTACAATGTTAATTTCTGCTGTACAGCAAAGAGATTCAGTTATACACATATATACATTCTTTTTCAGCTTCTTTACCATTACGGTTTATCACAGGATATTGAATATAGTTCCCTGTGCTATACAGCAGGACCTTGTTGTTTATTCATTCTGTATATACTAGTTTACATCTGCTAACCCCAGACTCCCAATCCTTCTTTCCCCCAAGAGAGAGGGATTTTAATGCTCACATGCCTTATGTGATTTGTCCAAGTTCTTTCAACTAGGAAATCCTGGGCTCTGAAATTCATGTCTTCGTGCCTACCAAAATCATGCTTTCCCCCACCACGTGCACTGTTACGCGTAACCGCAGGCAAATAAATGGACTGCTCTGAAGAACATAGGGTGTTTGAAGAAATGTCCATCCTCCCTGGACCCAAGCTGTGCTACCATTTGGAGCAGACACTGGTGTCACAGCCACGGGCGGCCGCTGTGGCAGCCCCACTTCCGAGGGACAGAAGGCAGGAGGCTGCCAGGCAGTGCGGAAGAGGCCCCCCCACCCCCCGCGATGTGGTGAAACGTCACTCAGTTACGTTCTCCCCGAGCCGCCTGTTTTTGTGCATCTCATGTGGACAAGGTGTCTGGGGCCTCGGCTGCGCTATTCCAGGGCAGGCGGTGTTTTGAACGATGGATTTCTCCCGTTTAGACCCTAGTTTGAGAAAAACAAGCTAAATCCCATCAAAATGAATATATAACCATGACCACTATTTAACTGACAACTGTGATTTCCTGTCACTAATCCTGCACTAAATATGTTGAGGATATGGTTACCCGTCCACCGGGCACCTCAAACTTCACGTGTTTAATACAGAGCTCCGGGCCTTACCCCTTGGTCCACGGCCAACCGTCTGTCCCAGTTCAGCCTCTGGTGGCAACATCCTTCCAGCTGCTCCAGCCAAAACCTCAGTGTCATCCTTGTGTCCTTCCCTTCTCTCACGTCCTGCGTCCGTTTCATCAGTGAGCCACGTGGAACCTTCTTGTACACCGGGATCTGGGCCACTTCCCTCCCTCCGCTGCTTTCACCCCGACTCAGGTCGCGGGCCTCTCTCGCCTGAATGTCCCAGTGACCTCTAACCTGGTCTCCTTGCTGTGGCCTTGCTTTGTCCTTGCCCTGACCTTTCTGTCTTTGCTCTGTCCTTGCTGTGACTTTGCCGTGTCCTCTCTTTGTCCTTGCTCTGACATTGCTGTGTCCTTGCTGTGGCATTGCTCTGACCTTGCTCTGTCCTATATGCCTTCCATCCACGCTCAGTGCAGCCCCAGGATCCGTCCCTTCACTGAAGCTTCTGCTCCTCCTCCAAGGCCCTGGGCTGCCCCCGCCAGCGCTCTCACCTACTCTTCCCCCATCCGGGGCTCCCAGGCTGCTCAGGGCTCCCTGCAGAGATGCTTCGCACTTGACTCCATTGCCAGCTTCTCAGTGCTGCTTCCGGCTGTCGTACTTGAGTCCCTTACCCCTTTGCCCAGCTTTATTTTTCTCCAAACTACTTGCCATTGTTATATATGTGTGTGTGTGTGTGTGTGTGTGTGTGTGTGTGTGTATCTTAGTTATATCTTAGTTTTATGCCTCTTCTGTCTCCCCTCCTAGAATACATTTGTTCCAAGAGGTTGATACTCTCTCCTGCTAAAGACTGTATCCCTAGTGCCTCTAACTGTGCCTGGTACCTAGAGGGACTCAACACATACTTGCTGCCCATTAATTTAACCAAAAGTTATTTCGTGATCATATGTAATATCAGGTATAGTATTGGGCATTCGAGTACTATACAAACGTTAATCTTGTTAAGACATACTTAAATATGTCATTTTTAATTTGGGGAGGGGGGATGTGAAATAAGATCTTTGTAATCCCTAGACTTTTTAGGTACCTGTCACTGATGTCACCCAATTTGCCAAGAGTAAATTCTCTTCCAGGTATGCAGCCATTTCTCACAGGATCACTGGAGCTGTCCTTTTCTTTGTCTTGCTTTTGTTTCCAGAAGAGAGGCACAGTTAGATGAAGAAGGGCAGTTTCTTGTCCGAATAATATATGAAGATTCTAAAACATACGATCTGGTTGCTGCTGCAAGCAAAGTCCTCAGTAAGTTACATGTGACTGTCCTTCTTTGGCTAAAGCCACCGTAGGCGTCCAAAGGCGTGCGTGGCCCGAGGTCGCGGTGTGAGCTGCGCAGGACGCACTGAGTCCCACCGCTCTTTTTACAGATTCTTTAGAGAAGACAGGAGCTCTCTGCCCCTCCCCACAAAAAGCCATGTGTTGGGGAAGGAAAAAAAAAGCATTGATACTTAATGTAATAAGTTGTTAACGCGATAATAATTTAATGTTGCCATGTCAACAGCACAGGAATTAGAAAAGTGTAGAATGCAGAAAATATTATCTCCAAATCTCTTTTGTAATCACAGGTTTTGTTAGGTGTTGAAAAGAAACAAGAAACTGAGGTCTGCATCAGGCAAAACTCATGCAAGGAAGGCAAAGTCCAAAACAAAAAAACTTCATGGGAAAAATGTTGTTCTCAGAGTAGTATCTCGCATCCTCACGGCACTTAATTTACAGCTAGGCTACAGGTTGGATAGACTAGATGGATGGTTTTTGGCTTTGTCAAATATAGCTAGGAGAGCAAGTGCTACCTTTTGCAGGATACAAGAATTACCAAAAAAAAAAAAAAGTATGGTAAATTGTTAATAATAAGAAGAAAAATATCTTGCCTCGTTGGTAATCAAAATTGACACAAATGTGAAATAATTTGTATACAGATTTGGCAGTTAAAAAAATATCTAGTGTAGTCAAGGGTAGAGTTAAAGAGGAAATCGTGCACATTTAAAATCTGTTGGTAAGATAGTTTTTTTAGAGAATAATTTTGCGTCATCAGTCAAAATCTTTTAAAAAATGTTCAAACCCTTTAGAAATTTTTCTTAAAGAAATGATTTGATTTATTAACATTAAGATTTATGGGTGTTTTCATTTCAGAGTTAACTTACATTATCAAAAATTGGAAAAGCCTACATTTTGAACAAGCGGGCATTGGTGAAATAAACTGTTGCATATCTGTGTTGGATAAAATAGTGATTAAAATTGATATTAAGAAAAAATGTTAAATTTTAGGAAATATTAATAATTGAATATTAAGAAAAACACAGGGTCTTAGGGTACATACTGTATGCAACCGAGTTATTAAATATGGATATTTATATAAAGAAAAATAATTTTGCACCACAATGTTATCATGTGCATTCTGGATGATTTTCAAGATCCTTCTGTATTTTTTGGAAAAAGTAGGTTATACCTTATGCATAAGTTGAGAAAAGCTCAAAATTTTGTCATGCAAGCAGAGAAACTGTTTTGCTTTAAGTACAAACTTACCCTGTTAACACGTCAATACGCTGTCTTCTCAGATTTCATTGTATTTTCCTGGCCAGATGTTTTTCCTGTGATCTGTTCACTCTGCACAGAAATTGAGGATATTTAACAGTTTTTATTATGCACTTGTCTTCATTCCTCCCACTAACAATTTTCCATCTCTAATATATTTTCTTTCTGTTGCCTCTCAAATCTATAAACTAGATCTCAATGCTGGAGAAATCCTCCAAATGTTTGGGAAGATGTTTTTCGTCTTTTGTCAAGAATCTGGTTATGACACAATCCTGCGTGTGCTGGGATCTAATGTCAGAGAATTTCTGCAGGTGAGCAGTTTGAGGTCCTGGAGCTAAAAGTTCTGAGTTTTTGATTTTCCAATGTAGTCTCTAGAATCCTTTTGTTCAGCCAGCTGGATGAGTGTCTAACTGCTGAAATGGAATCATAGTGACATTTTTCCTAATTCACGTAAAATAATAATTATTGGATGGTCTTGAATACATTTTAGCATTTTTACTTCATATTTTCCCTTTAATTTTTGGTACTGATGCTGAATACTCAAGTTATAAAGTAGTGGTCTCTGAAAGACTCAACATGTTGTGATCTTTGCAGCTGCCTTTTAAAAAATAGTTCTTTGTGCTAGTAGCTGTGGTTTTATGTATGTAACGTGGGCTTACTTTCTACTTGTAAGTCACTCCGAGTTTGCATAGCGTAATTAAAGAGTGTATCAGTATCTGTGATGTTCTACCTGGAGCTCACTGTTTCGGAGAAGCGCCTGCCACCAAAACAAATTTGAGAATCATTGCTCCCGGTTACATATTAGTTAATCTACTCTGGAGAGGAAAATAGGAAATCTTCCAAAGTCAGTCTCAGGTGAAGTCAAAGATAAATAATGACGTCAGAGGCCTTTGTCTTCTTGTGAAAATTACCTTATTATTATTATTATTTTTTTATTATACTAGCAAATGACACATTAGGTGGGAGACTATTTTGGGATTGACTGTCCTATTTTAAGCACAGGCATTTGTGAGACCCTCTTCTTGAAATGTGTTAACATTGAATGTTATGTGGTTGTTTGTAAAGGATATTTCTAAACTGGCTGCTGAAAGCAGCCAGATCTTGCTGGAAAATGATGTCAGTGCAATACTAGCTGAACCGGAGCCCAGTTTGGGGGGAATGTAAACTACTTGCAGTCCAGCTGCATTATTGATTTAACAGCCAAAATAAGAACTGTAGTGTTTAATCAAAATGGTGGTGGTTTACATAGTGACATTTTTCTTATAAACTAAAAGCAGCATTAAATCAAGATGGAAACTGGTTTGTGGTCCCTGCCATGGATTTACGAAACTGCTGGTGTCCTAAAAAGCTGCCACTTACAAGTGAAGCAGCTGCCAGGAGATATTTAAATTAACCTCTAACAGGTTGTATTTAAATGGATTACTTTACATGGGTTAAAGTTTGAGATGTAGACGTATTTGGGGATTGGGGGGTTTTGAATACATTTCCATTTCTAATACGTCTGTTGACTGCTGTCACCTCAGCTAAGTTTCAGTTGCAGTTCCTCTCCCTTAATTTTAACATTGTCAGTGGCCACATCTGTGTCAACAAACGGTTTACTTTTTTTTTTTTTTTTTTATCCTTTACTCATTGTGACCGACTGCTAGGTGTGTAGTGGGACACCAGAGGATGGGCAGCTCCGGAGGTTTCTCCTGTTCTAGAGCTGCCCTGCCCGGCAGGATGGTCTCCACGTGAATGCTCAGCCTGTGAAACGTGCTCTGGGTAAAACACACACCAGGCTTCAAAAAGAATGCAAATAGCTCCAACCTATTTTATGTTGATTACATGGTGAAATGGTAGAATTTTGGAAATACTGAGTTATATAAAAATGTATCATTGACGTTTATTTCACGTGGCTCTTTTTCCTTTTTTAAACATGGCTACTAGAAAATTTAACGTTACATGAAGACTAATGTTTGTGACTTGCCTTAATGGCTGTTAATGCCTTTTATTTTCCCTGGGCAGCATTATTTTAAATAGTCCTGAGTCTGTTTTCCTCAAAGTCAATAGGCACTTTTAGTTAATATACCTTTAAATTACACACGATTTTATTTTATTTTTTTCTTTCGGTGCAAGTGTGAGCAATGAGGAAACTGGAAAGTTAGAATACTGTAAAGTTTTCATCAGTATTGTCCATTTTTGATTGAATTGGTTTTTCCCTGGTTTTGAAATTAATATCTTAATGGAAAATTGGCTACATTAACATACTGCTTTTCTTAAAAGTAGATATTTGTGTTATGAGTAGGCTAATTACAAACAAATTAAATGGACCGTTTTTCTGTAAAACTGACTATGAAATAAAGCAACTGATTTTCTTAAATTGTTTTAAGATCCTAGCTTGCATTTAAAAATTGACATTCTTCATTACATAAAATAATGAAACATTCTTCATGGTAGACTTTAAAGAGTTAGATAAACTGGGCCTTATTCTAAGGATAGTTAAAAGATTATTTTTGTCCTTCACCACCTGACTTTACACAGTCACTAAATCCTTAGACTCTATGTCGTAAGTACTGAATTTTCAGAATCCTACCACTTTTCTTCATTCCCCTACCCTTCCGTGGGACAGTCTACCATTATATACAGGACGGATCGGTTTCCCCATCTCTCTGCATGACCCCTCCATCTCCTCTCCATTCTATAACTAGTGACTTTTCTGAAATGCACATAAATCTTCTCCCATCAGTTACTTGCTTAAACCCTTCAGTGATTCCCAGTTGCTCATTGGAAATGTAAAAAGCAACTAAAATAATTGAAACTACTCACATCCCCGTCTGTCTCTCCTCTTACACTCCCCCAGCCCAGCCAAACAGGACTTCTTCCAGAAGGTTTTTTTTTTTTTTTTTTAAACTTGCTCTCTCCGTCCTCTGAGCTTTTGCACCTGCTCTTCCCTTTGTCTGCAACACTGTTCCTGCTCCGTTTCAGCTCGACCTGTCCTCTTCATCCTGCTGGTTAAATTACTTCTTCCAGGAAGGCTCCACTCTGCTCTCCTGGCTCTACCCTGTTTGAATCAGGGAACTGACATTTCTCATGTTTTCACGGTACATCTATTTCCTCACCCATAGGAGGTCTCGCACCGTAGATCATTTCCTGTTTGGGGCTGGAATATAAATGCCATGAGGCCAGAGGTCGTGTATAGTCTCTTAATGATGGTATCATCACAGACATTATCTGGGAATGAAAGAGCATTTTTTAAAATGAATATTTGATGTTTGTACAAAAATAGGAAGCAAATACCCCAATAGCTCAAGATTCTTTTATTAAGAATAATAAAAATCCATTTTGAGTGAGGCTACATAACTTTGTTTAGAGGTTGATTATAGGTTGAACTATAGACGAATAGACACACTCTAGACCAATTTCTTCTTCATGCGGGCGTGGCAAATTACTGCTTATTCATTAACATACAAGTGACATTACTTGTATCTATTGAAACTTTTACAATGTTTGTCCTAATATTTCCATCTGAGGCTCTCAGGCAACAAGAAAATAGCTACTGAGGTTGTACCGCGAGAGACCACTGGCCATGCGTCAGGCTGGGTTCCTTCATCCACTCCCGTCCTTCTGAGGAGGGCTTCCTTGGGGGGTGTCTCTCCCGGCCTCTCAGTGGGATACATTATTGACAGCAACTCCCTATTAAATATACATATTTTTGCTTTTCTTGAAATAAGTTTTAAGTTTTCTGAGTACCAGGCACAGCATATAACAGGCAATCAATAAAGAGTCTTCAAGTGGTAGAATTCGTTAATTCTGAGTTCTATGTGTATACTTTTTATTTGGCCCAGGCTGTATTATCCAGATAACACCTCTGTTCCTTTATGCACATTTTATACTCAAGGAGTTGCTGTATAGATAGTATCTATAGTTTAGTTCCGGAAAAATGTTTGTTTCTCTCATGGATTTTGTCATTTCCTTTGATTAGTGAACTTAAACAATTTAACAATTTACCAGCTTGAATAATGGACAGTTCTCCTTTGAAAGGCTTTGCTGCCAATAGCAAATTCCCGGCTCTGCTTACACACTCTCCCTTGCATTTTCAAAGTCATTTTAAGAATTTTTACATCACGCCTGTTTTTAGTCTACCTCAAGACTTTCACAAAAAGAGCTACACATCTTAAATGGATAATGTAATAAAATATAGGTTTTAGAGGAAACTTTTTAGAAAGATTATTCTTCCAAAGACATCACACAATTTGGAATTGATTTTTGTTAAATGTCCTACGAAACCATCAGTTTGTGGACTATTGATAAAAGTAGATAGTCCTTGCAATCAGTTATTATCCTTTTGCTGGTTTAGTAACCGAAAACATGATTTATCAAAAAGAGTTAAACAAGGGACTTCCCTGGCGGTCCAGTGGTTAAGACTCTGTGCTCCCAATGCCGGGGGTACGGGTTCGATCCCTGGTCAGGGAACTAAGATTCCACATGTGGTGTGGCCAATAAAATAAAATAAAATAATAAGTAGACAAGAAAAAAAAGAGATAAACAAGAATAGGAAGATGTTTTGATTTAGATTTTTGGATTTTACACATTTTATCTGGATTTATTGTCTTAAAGGTAAGACTATATTTCAGCAAGAACTTTTTCTCTATTCTGCCACTTTCTTATAAAGTGTGGTTTCATGCTGCTGCTGCAGTAAATTTCTATCTGAAGCTTCTAGTGTATTGATTAAAAGAATGCAGAGAACAGATAGGATTTGAAAGCTCCATAAAACATACAGCTGGTAAGGAATGTCCAATCTGATGGTATTCCCAGCCTAATCCACGCTCCCCTTTACTTTCTGATGCCCTATTGCATTACTGCAGATTGTGTTTTCCCCAAATTGCCACACTAATGTCTCCCATCTCATACGCTCTGCTGCAGTGTGATTGTGCCTCTCCCCCATGAAAGGGTGGAGTCCCCTTCCCATGGATCTGGGCTGGCTTTAGTGATTATTTGGCCAGTAGAATATGGCAGAAGTAACATTCTGATACTTCCTAGGCTGGTTCATACCTAGGAACTCTTGAAGTTCCCATCTGAGTATCTGGGAGCATTTGCTCTTGGGAAGTTCCCTGACATGAGACGCTCAAACCACAGGAGGGGCCTGTGCAGGCCCTCAGACAGCGCTGCTGTCTGCGCTCTCAGCTGTTAACGATGAGTCCGTCCGAGCCCCTGTCTCACTCCAACCCGAGGACTTCCCACCTGAGTCCAGACAGCCCACAAAGCCATGAGAAATAATATTAGTGTGTTAAGCCAATAAGTTTGGGGTGCTTTGATATGCAGCGGTGGATAA